CAGGCAGCGGCCGGCACCTTCCGCCCGGGGCCGGCGTGACTGCGCTCTGCTCGCCCGGCAAGGCGCCTGACACCGCGGGGCTGTTTAAGCACCGTTTTACATTGAGCCTCTGTATCTGTGTGACCGAGTCTAATAGTGACAAGGAACAGTTTAGGCAGATATTTTGCTCGCTCAGTGTGTTGTCAGCATAACCGGGTTGGATAGAGTTGGGTACAAGCACCTGTGTAATTGTAGCACCCTTCAGTTGTAAACTGCTGACCGCAGCACAGCCCGTGCTAGTAACAGTTAAAGCCCCCACAAAAATCTGGGAAAATTGAACTAAATTGATGACCAGGCACTTTGACCCCTTCTCACGTATTCAGCCAGGTGGCTGAACAAACACCACTTCATTGGATAGAAAAAGAAAGGCACAACCAAGGACTGTTTTGAGCCTGCCTGTGATTTCTTGCTAGAGAAGCTGCTATGTTTGCTCCCTTCTTCCTGCAGTAAATGCCTCATCTTACATCTGCCTTTCTCCTTCCCTGCCGGCAGCGGGGCTGCCTCCGAACTGTGCCAGCCCCAGCAGCGTTACAGCCAGCCCCTTCCTTCGGGGGTCCCTCCAGCAGTGCCCCAGCTCCGCTAGCAGCCTTAGCTACGTGCTGCCCTTCGGCTGGCTGCTCCTGCCCCCCCAAGTTCCTCCCGCTTTCCAGCGGCGTGCCACAAAGTCTGTGATTACACGCTATCCTGCTTCCTCAAAGGAGACGTCGAGGAGGCTGAGGGGAGACCTCATCACCCTCTACAACTACCTGAATGGAGGTTTTAGAGAGATGGGGATGAGCCTCTTTAACGAAGTAACAAGCAATCGGACAAGAGGTAAAGGCCTCAAGTCGCACCAGCAAACGTTTAGACTGGATATTAGGAAACATTTCTTTCCAGAAGGGCTTGTTAGGCGTTGGAATGGGCTGCCCAGGGAGGTGGTGGAGTCCCCATCCCTGGAGGTTGGGTCAACATAGCGCTGAGGGATATGGTGTAGTGGGGAACTGTCAGTGTTAGGTTAATGGTTGGACTGGATGATCTTCAAGGTCTTTTCCAACCTAGATGATTCTGTGATTCTGTGACTTGTTAGGCAGACCCTGTCCTTGCTTCCCATCCTACAACCTGTACCTGTCAGGGCAGCAAGTCATTGCCCAGGGTTAGGGTAACAACATACCGAGTCATACTTACTTGGCTCAGTATTTTACACACAGCTGCAATTATAAAATTTCCACCAACTGATGGTGAGCTACTTAAGAAAGAGAAACCCCTTAACTTGGCACAAATGAACACATTTCACGGATCCCTTTTTGTTCAACTCTCCTCCTCTCCACAATACTAAACATCATTATGTAACAGGCTGCTTTTCCTTTTTAGGCCTATCCAGCACTTTCTGTATGAGGTTACTTCTGTTACCACAACCTGGTAAATGAAGAACTCTCTAACGCTCAGTTTAGCATTAGAAAGCAGGTGTTAGTTTATTTGGCACCAGGTGCATGGGAGATCATTCCTCCTATCACAAGGAGGCACATGCACACAAAGGCACACTCCTTATATACAGTAAAAGAAATTAATATTCAATGTTATTTCCAAGAAGTAACAGCCTATTTCCAGCAAATCTAATGCATAAGTTAATACATTGCACAATTGCAGAAGGGTGTCTGGTGGTCATTTTGAGGCAAAGACCTTAACTCAATTTGCCTATATACTGTAACTCCCAGTTTGGATTGTTCTTTGGTACGCAGCCCCACTTACCCTGTTTACACAAAGTTTATACAAAGAGGGCCTGTCACAGTTTGGGTTGATCCTTGATATTTGTCTGTCTGACATGCAGACTCCCTTACCCTGTCTGTATATCTTGAAAGCAGACATCTGCACAGCTGCTGGCTTAGTCAGCTTATCCCAAAGACTGTTTGCACAAGGGCTGTTTTTTTCTTTTTTACAACATATCCCCCCTTGGAGACTTGTAAGATTTTCTCAGGAGTCTCATCCTTATAATAATAATAATAATAATAATACCTATCCTGTTTGATCAGTTTGCACAGATTATTTACAAATTGGGCGATTATAGGGACACACTAAATCATGATATAACATAAAATGCACATGGCTACTATCCTTAAAATAGTCACAAACAGTTCCTTAAGACACTGCAGATTGCTAATTCCATATATTTTCCTCAATGGTCCTCTTAGCACAACCTATGCAGATTCCTATAACAACTATAATTATCACTATATAAATTATTCCTTCCAACAATGTGACTAACCATTTTTTTAGAGGCTATCCACCTAATCCTTGGAGGATTTTGTGGAGCCAAATATTTTCTGCTGTATCTCTGATTGCTCTCCTATCTTCTGCTACTTTTCTCATTCTAATTGTTCTTGCAGGTTATCAGTGATGTTTGGGATGTGGATACAGCAGTGATCCTTGTCTAATTTAAGATATCTACACACCTCTTGTTCTTTAATAGCAAGTAGAAGCCTAGCCTATTTTGTAAAGTCATTTAATTAGCCTAGTCCTCAGGATCCAAATCTGTCCCCTTCCATGATGTTTTCACACAATCTTTCATAAAAGGCAGAGGGGTCCTCACTTTTACCTTGCACCACCTGATATAGTTCTGCAAGGTTTTTAGGTCTGGGTATCCCACATTTTATTTCATACAGTATCAACTGTTGATAACTGTTTATTCTTCAATCTGCCTGCCCCTGTATTTAGATTCCAGTCTGTCTCTTGTGCTGGCATAAAACAATCTGAACCATCCCTTGTATTTAGCCTCTCATCCTCCTCCTGAGCTTTTTCCAGCACCATTCTCTTTTCCTTAGGCAGGACCCAGCAGACTTCTTCCAGTTTATTAAATCTGATACTGAAAAGGGCACCTTTACCTAAGAGGTCCATCCATTCCTACCGCTTGCCTGAGAGGGGCTTGTATGTTCTGAACATTTCCCCACCTTGTCCTACCCACCACTGGACTGAAACCTTCCTCCTTGTTGAAACTATCCCAGTCACTATACCTCTGCTCCCTTTGCCTTCTGTTCACTCCCCTTTCACCCTGTGCTGCCATTTCCTGCTCATTTCTCCTTTGCATCACCTGCTGATGCTACATGCTGAACAACAATGCTGAGATTTCTTATTTTCTGCCTCTAGTACCAATACACCACTTTCACTTACAATCAAACCACATTCCTTACGTACATCATAATTATCCCATAATGCAAAGAACAAATTTATCTATGGCATCTCATCCCATTTTCCCATTCCACTGGCAAAACAACATTAATTGTAACATGGTATTATACTTTAAGGTCCCATTCTTTGGCCACTTTTCTTGATCTTCTAAAATGTACGTTCACCACCAATGATTACAGTAATCAATTAATTGTTTCCTGGTAAGGGGATCACTTCTTACATCTTTCCAATGTTTTAATATACATCCTTGAGGACTCCTTTAAAATACCGCCCTCAGACCCCTTAGATGATTGACTGGACTCCATATTAGAACAGAACAAACAAGTTACATGCACAGAAACTACAATATCTAACAAAACCAAAACATACAAATTACAGTTACGAACTCGACAGTAACCAGTACCCTGGCTGGCACTCTGCGTCCAAACAAGCCTGGTTGATTTTCCATCAAGACCCCATTAAATCCCTTACAGTCCGTTCCAGCAGGAAAGCATTGCCTGGGTGTATCTTTTAGTAATGCCTTAACAAATCCCAGGGGTCTTGCTCTGAACTCACTGGATCAGGGGATTGGAGGATCTCCCCAAGAAACCTTCAGTGGTGCTGGAGTCCTCACGATCCTGTGGCTCCCTTGTGTGTCAAAACCAATGTACCATCTGGGTGACAAAACTGTTTCCAAAATCTGTAGATGAAGAACTCTCTAACGCTCAGTTTAGCATTAGAAAGCAGGAATTACTTTATTGTAATAGATGTATGTAACATCTATGTTACAGACCCATGGGGGATCATTCCTCCTATCACGCACACTGAAAAAGAAAGGCACACTCCTTATATACAGTAAAATAAATGAATATTCATATATTTCCAAGAAGTAGCTGCCTATTTACAGGAAATCTAATACATATGTTAATACATTGCACAAGCGTACTAAAATTGGGGAAGGGTGTCTGGTGGTTGTTTTGAGACAAAGACCTTAACTCAGTTTGCCCATATACTGTAACTCCCAGTTTGGATTGTTCTTTGGCACGCTGCCCCACTTACCCTGTTTACACAAAGTTTATACAAAGAGGGCCTGTCACAGTTTGGGTTGATCCTTGACACTTGTCTGTCTGACATGCAGACTCCCTTACCCTGTCTGTATCTCTTGAAAGCAGACATCTGCACAGCTGCTGGCTTAGTCAGCTTATCCCAAAGACTGTTTGCACAACATGGACTGTTTTTTTCTTTTTTAGACCACTTTCAGTTTCTCAATGTCCAGATATGTTTATTTACTTCCTAGCCTAGGTACCCAAGCCCAAAGTTATGCTGACTTTAATACAGGGGTACGGTTGGCTGCCCCACTGGCAACATGTGTGCTTTTACAGGTGCATACAGTACCACAATAGCTTCCTAATTACTGATGTTCTTTTGAGATTGGTACAAGACGTCTGTAGTCTGGTAGAGACAAAACTGGCTGTACCACATAAAGTCAAAGGGCCATGTAGCCACGACCATTACAGCTAGTGGCCATCATGAGCTGCCTAGACGAGCAGAGTGAGAACTGAGGCAAGCACGGAGTACAGCACTCAGCTGACCATCAGCTTTTAGGACTTTCTGAGACAGAGGTCACAATTGCACCATCTTACTGAGTAAGCAGACCATGAATTTGCCCAATTCATTTTTAGGTCAATGACACCAATTTTGGGCCTCCACAACAAGATCCATGGCAGTATGTAGTGTATTTTAATAAATAGCTGTCTGAATATCCTGCAAGAAAAATCCCGTCCAGAAACAGAAGCTTCTCCCCACTGTACATACTGCTTATACAGCAATGCACCACTAGGACCATTCAGTATTAATAACCCCCAATGGCTCCCTGCAGGTCTCATCAAGAGACCTTAACAGGCTGGTAACAGATCAAACATACGGGTTATGACAAGTTTGCTTCTTCTCCCTCAAAGCTGATGTATATACACATTATCTAGCTTTGCAGTGAAACAGTTAAAGTAAACTACTAGCCCCCCTTAAGAAATTTGCCCAGGGGAAGTTAATCTCAGCTAATCATTTTTATGTTGTTGTGTGGTACCAGAATAACTGTAATTGCTTCCTCTAGTTAATACAGTACTAAAGGCCACAGGGGTAAAGCCTCTAGCACACTGTACTGTTCAGAAATGTTATGTGTAAGGACTTCCTATGATCTCAAAAGCATGACATTGTTGTGTCTCCCATAGCTTTAGTGGAGCTGTTTGTGCATTACAGAATTTACAGATATTGTTCCCCGAGTTTCTTTGAAAGGCTTTAGATTCAAAGTGGACATGAATCACCACTTCCTGGTACACTAACCTTGAAATTTCAGTTGACAGCCCAGCTGTTTCAGCCATTACTTAGTTACAAGTTAATCAGTGGCCTGCCATTCCTCTTCCTTGATACCTCAATCCTCAGCTCCAGTGATCATTCAGATCTTCCAGTTTTCAGTTTAAAGCCTAAAGGCACAAATCTTAAAAATCACAGGGAACAAAATAAAGTCTTTTTTTTTAAACGGCTTACCCATTCAAACGCTTAAAATGTTACTGCTACTTCAGAAACTAGTAAGTAGTCTATTTTTTTGTTGCAGTGCCTGCTTTTTAAAGCAGAAGGTTGACGAGAAGCATAAAAGCAAATGGGATACAGGTTAGGTATGAGGGCCAAAGGACAAATGAGTTACAGAGAAGTCACTGGTCCTTTTGAAAACCTACTATAGGTCATATAACCCTTAAAACATACTTGCCCCTTCTTTTTTAAATCAGTGACACTACATTCTAGGATTCTGAAATCAGTCAGGATCACTTCTTCATTTGCACTGCAATAGATACTAGAGCAAACTTGTGCCTGTGCCTGCCCTCTCTGCCCCCCAATAGATGATTGTGCCATGGTCTACACAAGCATAGTACCTCAGTCCCTACCTATCTAGGGAGATAAAAATCAAGAAACACCACACATCTGTGCAAAACAAAAACCTGTCCGATCTTCTCCAAACCAGAGACTGTGACCAAACCCCAAATCCTTTGGACTAGACCTTCACACCTTAGCTACACCATCATCCCCATTGCAGTTGCCTTTGGATCGCCCTGTTGGGTCTCTGAAGTTACAGACGGGCTCACTTGCCCTCAGTGTTGCTGCATTTTCAAGGGAGAAATGCGAGGGCTATAGTATCACCTCTCACCACAAGATGGTAGGTGTTTTCTGATGGTTAGAGGGGAATAGGCTTTTAATAGACCTTTGAGTTGGTGAACACCTCAGCTTCAGAGAAAGTAGAGACAAAAGTAAATTAGGACAAAAAAAATCTAATAAACTCTTTATGGGATTGTGAATGAACTGCAGCTTAAGAGGAGTATGGGATGCTCACATATGTTGTGCACAAACATGAAAAAAACCCCTCAGCTTAGTCTCAAGATATTATTGCTAGCATGATGTTTTGTCTGACCCTTTCTTATTCATATCCTGGCTATTCCTGTTAAGAAAATTTTTAGTTGTGTGAATGTGTTTTAAGTCATCAACAACATGAAACTGGTTATTTTTGGAGACAAAAAGCATTCCCAAACTAAGTACTGCATAATTTTGAAGCAAACTTTAAAAAAAGCACCTTCATATGGATACATAAAGTTGTGTGTCTACCTCATGCTGTACACAGATGCACAGAACACATTTATTACCCAAGTTACTAACACATTTGTCCTTGGTTTTGGAACTTTCTCAAAAAAAGTTGAAAGATGCACTTGTAAATAAGATTTTTCAGTCAAGGAAACTATTTCAAGGAAAGAGAAAGTTAACACCATAGACATTACTTCTCACCAATTATTTGACAGAAGCTACTTCTTTCTCATCTCTTCTCCGATTTTAATCTTCATCTTCACAGCACTGTGAAGGCCCACAAACAAAGCCTGAACAAGCCCAACTCAACAATACTCTCATGTCGGAGTTCAAACAGGCCAAAGCCAACCTTGCTGATCCCATTCTAATGAGACTTGTGGTGATGTGGAAGTTCTGGACACAATTTATGCGATCAGTGTGATCAAGTTAATGCCACTTTATTAAAGGATACACAGCAATTTATAAACTACCATAAAGCACACGCACAGCTACTTAATTGCTAATAGGCTAAAACTACTTGTCCATGCGCCCTTTTGCCCTCTATGATTGGTCCCGTTGTAGTGTCCATGCGCCGTTCTTCTGTTAGGCAAACATCTTGCTTTCCACAGTTCAGCTTTCTTAACTTTTTGCAACGCACACAGTTTCTCAGCCCCTTGGCCTTGCAGGTGTTCTTCACAACAGCTACAGCCTGTTGTTACAGTGGGGCCACTCGGTCTAGTTCACTCATAATACGTCTGTTGTTTTCCAGCCATTCCACAGACTTGCACTGCTTTATCTTTCTCACATTTAAGATTCTCATGTGACTCATTACCACAATAACAAATAAACATTTACCCCAACGGACCTGCCTTTGAAATCAAGAATCACCATTTTACAAAGGTAAAATACAGAGATCAAACCAACTAGTAAGTCTGCCCAGCTGTTCAGTTGCCCTCGCCCCAACAGAGGGCACATGCAAGCCTTTCCCAGGTATGTCAGCTCCTCTTTGCCATCTGTTTCTTGTAAGATGGAGTCAGTCCCAGTCCTTGGCTAAGATACAGGCCCACAAATACTACAGACTCCACCCTTCCAAATAAATTCTTCTTAGTGCTCACCATATTCAGCCTGTCTGACCAGTAGATCCATACCTTGCCTGCTCAGCTACAGCTAACAACTAATCATAGTCATGCAGTCAGGACTAGCTGAACTCAGCAGCATAGGAAAGCACTTTACTAAAACAGGCAACAAGCTCAAGTCCTCATTTAATGGTGCTCTGCCCTACTGTGCAAAACTAACCCAAAACTTAAGACTTACAACATATATTGAAATTAGTTATGAAAAACTAACTGCTTTTCCTTCATGGACACAGGACATGATATGCTGCAAAAATTACAGGAGTAGGCTGCTCTTTAAACTGTTATAAATGCCATTTACATTCTTTGACTTTGTTTAAACAATTCTGCTGCCTGACAAATAACTTCCAAATATGTCTGGCAACAAGTCAACAGTCACCCAACTTAAACCACATTAAGGCAAAATTTACATTTTTTTCCACTTCCCAACAGCTTCACTTGGAATTATGGGAGGCAGTCAGTTTGAGACTGTGAAGAATATGCAGTCTCTTGCACAAAGCACTGTCCAAACTGAACTACAGCTTTCCATTATTCAGTAGTGATTCATGAAGACGTATGGTTTAGTTTCTGTACAACTTACTTCCAAACAAGTACCCAGGGCCATGCTGACTACCCTGTCCTCTATGGCAGGCTTCCAAAGGACAGCCCCAAACCCCTTTTGCTTTCCTCTCCGCAGAAGAAAAGGAAGTGCATGCAGTGAATAAGGCAACTGGATACTGTCACTATTTTGTTGGGGATGCCCCACAGTTGGCCTCACAGCAAAACTAGGGGCTCTGGGAGCACAGAACTGTACCTTTGCTGTTGAAGAATGGTTATAAGGCTCACCATGTCTTAAACAGAGCTGCAGGAAAGAAAGAATATAGTGGTTTGGATATTTTCATAGAAGCTAAAGTGGGTGGAAGGGGCCACTGTGACCATCCTGCAGGCACAGACACGGCAGCCAAAGAACTGGAAATCCCTGAAGGGAAAGAGAGCCTCATACAGGAATAGGAGAAAGATATAATGGAACAAAACTGATAGTCTAGTAGAGCCTTTTCAGTGTCCATGGGATTCTCTAACGTTCATTATCAGATTGGTTATTAATTCTGGAAGAGTTTACTCAATGTCGGTTTCATAGCTCTCTAGAACTCCACTGCAAATGTCTACGTAAACATCTTTGTTCATCATCTTATCAAAATGATAAAACTCATTTTTCATATGGAAAAGATAAGTGCATCTTCCTTACTTGAACAGCAGTATCTGCTGAAAACACAGATGCTTTAAGATGCCATGAATCTTGTATTTAAGATGTTTTTTTACACAGCACAACCAGTTGACAGTTCAGTGGTTCCAAACAAACTGGTGAGAAGGAAAATGGCTGTTTTCCTAGATGTAATAAAACCAAATACAATAAAGTCAAATATTGATAATCTGTATTTCTTCTAAAAACAGTATACATTATAACAGAAGACAGAAGAATAAACTGAACACTCAGACCCAATATCTTGTAAACAGATACAAAACTTAAAAAGTGTGTACATCTCAATTCATGCCATACAAAGAGTAAAAAAAAAATATTTCAAGTATACTAATGAGTAATCCAGTGTGTGATGAAGTTTAAGGCTAACATTTTCAACCTTCAGTGAATTTATACAGAATCCATCTATGAACTCTCAGAAGCAGCTTTATTTCCATCAGATGTGAATTCTTGCAGCTGATATTGACTTTCCAAGAGTTTCATGGGATCAGAACTCATTTCCACAAGACAACAACATTTCTTCAAAATGTTCAAAATGTCCTGTTTAGCCAGAAAACAGGAAAAGGGGTAGATTCAGTTGAACATCTTGATTCTGAAATGCTGCTGCATCATTTCACATTCCCATTGAGTCTTAGGTGAGGGCTCCAGCTCTTTAATGGACTGGATCTATCAAAGCAGAGCATCCTATACCACACATCTACAGCTGTGGTATGTTATGGGAGAGAAAAGCTGTTGACATACATGCCAGCACTCAGCACAACTTAATACATAGACACATGATCCTAAATCATGTATATAGTGGGCCCAAGGTATGGGGATTATGTTGGACAAGCTGCATAATGAGCTATTTGCACATACACAGTGGATGCCTCTGTAGGAATTCAAACTAGCAGGCAGCCCAGACACCACAGGAGTCCTCAAAGCTGATTCTAGAGCTCCTAACTAAAGACAAAACATTATTTGAAAAAGTTACAGTTGAAAGAAATCTATCAGAAAACTCCTGTTCCTAGAAGAAGAACATGAAACATTTGAACAGCAGCCCCAACAAGATACAACAGTACTATTTCCTCTTTAAAAATATGGCTAGAAAACTTACTGTTCTAAAGAGTAGCAGCTTTTTTGAGGAATGGCTAAAAAAAGTTATTACAAAGTCCAGTCTTCTACAAGCTTTTAAAAAAATAAGTCAAACCTCAAATTTAGGTCAGTCTTTTCACCTTGAAACTAGATCTTCAGCTTCTTGAAGTTACTAAAATAAAGCTAATTGATGTCACCTCAGAACTAGTGCCTGACATTGAAAATGTTAGCCTCTACTTCAAGCTTCTCTGTAACCGTATCTCACTATCTATAGCATAGTATTACTAAAGGTCTCTTTTCATTCTCTTACAGTAAGAAACTCAGTATACAGCATTAGACTTCCCTCAGCTTTGCTACTAATTCATAGTTATTTCTATTCAAGAAAAGTAAACAGTGCATCAACCTGTACCCCCTTCTAGTTTTGCCCCATATCTTGACATACTCTTCACCAGTTCTTTGGTATATACACCTATGTACATATTAGTATTGTCTGAGATGCTTTTAGTAAGGGTAACAACCAGAAGTACTTTTAAGTTACAAAATTCTTGTTTGTGGTATTATAGCTATAAGTACTTTATACATCTTATTATATGACTGATTTTTCAGGATTTTTTAAAAAAGATTAGAACACAGAAGAATAGTAGGAAAAGTACCAATTTCTAAAATATTTAAAATGTAAACAGTGTAACAGAGAATATGAAAATTCTTTGAGAAACATCAGTCTAAACAACTGTAAGTGCTTTAATAACCATCCATCTGGACCACAGATGAATTCACCTGTTAATTTCCTATTACAGTGGCTTTAATCAATACATAAACTTATGCTAAGTTTCACACAAGTGTGCAACTACTTTGGTGTGGGGCAGAAAATAGGTCAACCCATAGGACTGTAAAGAAAACCATAGCCTGTGAAAAGGGAAGTTATACTCAATACTAAGGATATACTTGTGGGTGAGGCATCAGCTGTCACCTCACACTGCAAAGCCAGAGGCATTTGACACAAACATGTAAGTGCACTCAGAGTGCATATTGTCTTCATAACTTTGGAAAGTAATTTTAAGTATAAAGCATTTTAATTTTTTTGGTCCCTAGTGGTTATGGGCTGGTAAGTCTGAATTGCATGATTTCTTCTATAGTAAATAGATGCCCTATGACATAGTAGTATGCAAATAATTATTTTAATATCTATTCTTGTTTATAAAAGAGATTTGAAGCTTAATTTGCCTGAATGTGATGTTGAACCTCTGAATTAATTGTAACATGCAAATTCAAACCATTGCTTGGAACACTGAGGTGCCAAAAACAGTGTCATAATGCTTAAAAAAAATTTTAAAAGGAAGAAAAAGATAACCCCTCATCTTCTACTAGGTAGAACATATAAAACTGTGGAAGGGCTGCCAGAAAGGCTAGGAGACTTGCCTTCTAATTGTGGCTTTCTCAATAGCAACAGCACACAACTGGCATGGTTCACAACTGCTGCAGTAAAACCAGCGGTATGGCTTTTTCTGCTTTGGAAGCCTACAAACAGCAGCAAATAAACTGGAGGCATTTATAGACTCAAGAACATAACCTGCATTATTCCGTCCACTTTTAGAAGGCACAGAACATATATATGTGTATACAGTACATAAAGCTTACACAGTATACAAACCGTCAGTATGGGCTCTTTCTCTCTTGCAAGGGAAACTTCCCATGTACTAGTAGTGGCAGCTAGTCCCAGAGTTTAACACGTATGGACTAACAACTTTCTTTGACCTAGAAGTCATTCTGGTAAGTTCTGTTCCCTCTCTTGGGCCATTCCTCCTCCACCCATTTCAGCAGCACTTTCACAACATCAATTCTCTTATAAAATTTACAGAGATCAATCAGCTGCTCCACAGTCCGGTCACTATTCCGTAGCAAGAACTCCAAGGTGGGACTTTGGGGCTTCTGTTCAAGGAAACACAATTCATCATAAGTCATCCCCCACTTGCTTGCTAAATTTCTCCAGTTCTTCACAGTTGGGTGGCAGGGATCCAGCTTTAGCCTCACTGTGTACAACAAGTCCTCATCATTGAGCATATCGCTGATGGTCGGTGCACGGAATAAGCACAAGGAGCAGGTGCCGTTTTCCTTGCAGGTTTTCTTGAGATCTGCAGTGAAAACCATTACATGGGGAGAAGTTAGGATCTATTGCTGTGGTTTCACTGGAAACAAAAAGTTAAAAGCACAAAGGGTTGAAGACTATTACATTCCTGTGAATCGCTTCTGAAAAAGTCAGAACAGTCACATGTAATGCCTTTCCTTGTGACTTCTCCCTTCACTAGATTCAGGGGCTATAATCAAAAGGACAGTAATTTTGAAAGTACCATATCTGTACTTTTATAGAAAAGGCATGCAATTCAATCCAGTGTGTAAGCTGGGGCATTCCCCTTTTTTGTTTTTGGGAACTACACTGCTTCCTCAAATCTGCCATCACCTCTGCTTACATCACCAGTAGGATTATGTGTGCATTATGTGCATCTTGTATACATGTGTTGTAGGATGAAGGAAAAGGGTTTGCACTTTTGAGCTGCTGCCTTCAAAACAACATGAAATATTTGCACCAGGAGAATCTTTGATGACAGCTGCAAACACATCTAGTACTTCAACACAATGAAAAAGTGGAAATTTTCCTTTGCTTTGTATGGGCTCTTACTATAAAAGCTGTCCCTAGCCTATTTAAAATGTACATTATAGAAGGGAATAAAGTGCATACTCCTCCATGTGTGAGAAAAATAAAAATACCAAGTTGCTGGAAGTAGGTGGTGATATGTTCCAAAATCTGCATCAAATACCAAAAATTGCCATTTAGAGGTTTCCCACACACAACAATTAATATCTCCCCAGCACTGTGAACAATGTGTTTCTATCAGAATATATTACATACTTATAACCTGTAAAAGCATGTAGAAGACAATTCCAGTCGTACTTCTAGTTGAACCCTAATAACAAGACCTTGAACACTGCAGTGGTGTAGGGCACTGTTTAAGCATTTTGGCTGCAGATAAGACCTTAACTCTCTGTGCTCCTTTTTGAAGGCAGGGAGAATTTGGTATCTCCAAAGAAGAGCAGATAATGGATGCAGCCTAGAACCCTTTCTATAGCTTCTGCCCTCCAGCCTCAGTGTACAGCTTGAAATAGGGAAGTAACTGGTCCTACTTGGGACGAAACTCTGAAAAAGGGACACTACAATAAGAAAACTGATATTAATAAGAAGATCGATTAAAAACAACAGGAGTGACACAATTTACAAGTGCTAGATCAGTGATGGTCTGGGAGACCTTAACTGTACCTCTGGCAAAGGGTAAATATGGTACTTAGTGCCACCTACACATACAGACAATAGCATCTGTTAAGGTTAGTTTTTTTTGGTTTTGTGGGTTTTTTAATTTGCAGAAATTACTGTCAGATTGTGTGAAAACTCCAGAAAGACCATCAAATTGTGATTTTTTTTTTATTCTGTATATTAGAGCTTATAAAAGCAACTCGGCTGAATGCAGCTTCTGCATGCACTGTTTTTTGGTTTTAAGGGAAGAACAGGTATATTGTTATTCTTGTAACATTGCTCATCAGCTTGCTTTTTTAGCAGGCCAAAGACAACTTCTGAAGTTTTCAACAAGTAAAGACATGCAGCAACAACACTGCTGCAGACACTAGCTTCATACAAAAGCTCAGATTCCCTGTTAACGGGAAACATGTTCTGGTGACATCTTTGCTCACAGGTATTCCACAGGCCTTGCAGCTGTTCTGTAGAGAAATATGTATGTTCTTGTGCACCCTAAACTCTTGCCGAAGTGAGACAAAACTTGCTTGCTTCACTCTTACCAAGATCTAGTTAGACAAACAAGGCAAAATGAACATAATCCAATCAAAGTTCTGGCTGAGCTCAAAGGGCCAGAGAGCACCCTATCTGAATTTCATCTTATTTTGCTTTGCAAGGATGCCAGAGTAAGTTTTATCATCCAATGGAAGCAGGTCAGAAAGGGTAAAGAAAACACGGGGCACAGTTATAGGTAAACAAAACTAAACCAACCTGCTTCTTGTGCTATACTGAGTGCAGACTATCAAAAGCATTATAAAAAAATCCTGCTTTTCTAAGATACCCTGTGTTAGATACTGATGAGCAAACGATGACCTACCCACCTAATTGCATGATCCTGATGCTACACGATAGGACAAGCTTCTTTACTAACATGGAATTCTCAGCTGTCCACTGTTAGATTAACAGGGCTGTATATCATACACACACACTCCACCTCCAGCAAAGCTCATACAATTATGATACAAGCCCCCACAGTCTACTGCCAGCTTCTGCTCCCTCCCGACAGCTATTTACAATTTCTTCCAAAACTTGATGTACTCGATGTATTTGGAAAGCCCAACTTAGGCATTTTGTATGTTCTGCATTATTGATCACCACCCCCTTAGAACAAAGAGGAAGCTGTAAAGGATACTGCTAATGAAATGAGCTCCACAAGCATTGGCTACCCAGGCAGTTCCTGGTTATGACAAAACAGCAGTTTTTAATAAAGTACTTCCAAAGAAAATCTAGGAATAAAATATGTAGAACAGTAAAGCTGTCATACTACCTGAAAGTGAGTCGTCAGTATGGTTTTGTGTGTCTTTGTCTTCTGGCTACAAAGCGGAAAACAAATATAAATCAAAATAAAACAATGTATTTGAACACCAGAATTCAGCTAATTTAGGAGTGGCAGGAGATTACTTAGAAGAATCCTGAGCTACTTGTAAAGTCATACAGGGAAAATATCTGGTTTTGAGGAATTACTGACTATCTGCAGTCTTTTCAAGCAGAATTTTCATGCTTTTGCTCACAAAACTGCCCTGTTGGTTGTATCCACTGAACAATGTCATCTTTATTAACATTATGGGGTTACATCTTTTGAACAATTTATTCATAAACCCTCAACAGCTGCTCAACAATTCACATGGCTTGATTAAAAAGATTTTTTAAATGCTTTGTAATGAGAAAAATGAGAATTTTGAATTTTGTCTCTAAAATACAGCAGTACAGGGCTGTTTCATTGATCTAGAAAAAGTGGAAGAGCTTTTTGTTTTTTTTACAAGCTTCTTCACACACATAGGATGCTTTTGTAGACAACAGGTGGACTTGAACATTTCTGCTGCCTCACGTCTAACCATCCTCATGTTTGAAGTACACATTCCCTCAGTGACTTTTTGCCTGCTAATATAATGAAATTACTGAGCAGTTTGAGACTGCAACACACGTTGTAACATTCCAATTCTATTTAGAGCAACATCTGAAAACTGGAAGGACCACACCCTTGATCCTAGGACTGCAGGATACTGCAGCTGCCCTTACTATGCGGGTGTGGAGCCAGGTGAAATAGCTTTCTTCTGTTGAGGATTTAAAGATGAAAGCAGAAGGGGATTTTCCCCTTAGATAGCTTCAATAAAGTATTGTTGATTTTCTTTGTATTGCGTCATTCTTCCAAAACTATCACGGCAGGCTTCTTAACATTTTGCAGGCTGTGCATGCAAACGCAAGTCAACTGGGTAACAATATAGTGTAATAAGATACTCTATTCCAGTGGTTCTTATCCTGTGGCCTGCAGACCCCTGGGGGGGCAGCGATGTTGTCACAGAGGGCCTGAGAAGGCTTAAAGCAGGGGTGGGGAACGTCCAGCCTAGAAACTTTTGGTCTGGCCTGTGGCAAGCACCGCACCTCCTTTTCCCACAGCCCCCTCCCCTCAATGCTTCTCTCATATTCAAGACACACAGACACACCCCCCCGCCCTGACACGCTAGTATATTCAGTGCTAGTATGGTTGGTGGGACCAACTTTAACTGGGTGATTTTTTTCTTAAAGACATCTTCTTAACCCAACAGCCCTCTCTAGGGCCACAACAGGGCTGTTCCTCCAAGTGGTGGCCCTGGTCCTGTAACCAAAACTATACAGTGACTAAACACAGACAAATGAGGGAGGAGGAGTGAAGAACTGTAAAAACTTTTAATCAAATTTTAATGTAAAAATGGGCATCAAATTCAGAATCAGCACGTTAAAATACCATAAAATGGGCCATTTGAGCAAGAATAGTGTTGATGCTATTAAATTAATACAAAATCTTTGCAATACAAGATATAATAGGAGTATGTGCATGAACAGATTAACTTATTTCCCCTTCTCCAAATCTGAAAACCCTTCATGAGAAAATTGAAATAAATATTTGATGCAGTCTTGTGCTTTAAATCTTGAAATAACTCTTGATGGTCTGTAGCCACAAAAGGTATTTAAAGGGGATCTGTGGTGAAGCAAAGGTTGAGAACCCTGCTCTATTCCTACCTGCTACACCTTGTTTACTAAGAAATCCACTAAAAATAGAATATAGGCAGTTTCAGTTGATGTGTTGAACATGCATACATTCACTATGCAATTATAAAGAAGGTAAGCTGTCTCCAAAATATTTTAAAACTTTGTTAAGAGACGAAAAATGCATGTGCTGTTTTCAGCATTTCTTTATTCCCTGAAAACTGCAAGATCACACGTGCAACATCAATTCACCTCACAAAATGTCTGCTTTCTGCTCAAGAGAGATGTAACACTGCACATGCCACTTGCAACAGAACTTCAATCCTTGCCACTATCTTCTAGTAGTTTACTTTTCCACTGGCATCACATAAGCTTTCTCTGGACAAAGCTTTTTAAACATGAACTTGGCTTCATGGCAACAGGTGAGCAGCCAAAGTTTAAGAAAAATTAAAATCTGGAGATACTGATTACAGCCACTGTCTCCATTCCCACAAATTCCTTTAAAAGGTAGAACATTATTACTGGGCCCTGAGGAGCAAACTGGGAGAATAAGGAGCTGCCCATCAGCCTCCCCAGAGATCTGTTTCAAAAGTAAACAAGCAAATAAAAACAAAAAAG